TCACAGTCCTGCAAGCACTTCTGGGGTTAGTCATTCATTATATAAAAGGAAGTGCCTTCCCAAAGGTCAGGGCCTAGGATGGACTTGTGCTTGTGATCTGCTGGACCGGAATGATTGCATATTTATGTCATAGCATTAGAGAATAAGACATTGAACAGTGTGATGCAGAAATTAAAGAGGAGAAAAGACTTGAAAAGCTCATCTCTCTAATGAGTTGGGATACCAGTATCAAGGTAGATGCTTCCACCTAGTGACTTATAGCAGTATATTTTTTTACATATATTTTTAGTTTAGAAAGCTGGACCGGCAGCTGCAGCAGAAAAAAAAAAAGTATAGAAAAAAAGATCATTCGTTATGTTTAGTCAGGAAGAGACACAGAAACTTACTTTACAAAGGGAGCAAAAAGCCTATACATTGAAACATGATCTTCAGAGCCCTGTGCTGCTCTCCTCCTCCAAGCTGGAAACTCTCAAGCTCCAGAGAGTTGACACGCGTCTGTATGTGCACAAATTACTGATTCAAGTCCTTGAAGTGATGCTCAACCAAAGACAAGCTCCCCAGAAGAGAAGTGCTCAGTGCTGAGCTTCAGAATTTCAGACTTCAACAGGAATCCATAGGCTCAGTGGCTCTTTGCAGTAAGTGGGGAGTAATATATGGGGGCGGGGGGAATAAAATAAGTAGCTCTGAATGGGATGCAGAAGAGTCAGAGTCTACTGACCAGATAGCTGTCTAAAATCAGGCTCCTCCACATCAAGATATGTCCTGAATCTTATCCCTGGAAACGCCACTGCCAGGAGGTGTCTGCTCACTTGGCATCCACAGCTGCAGAAGCTCTCTATAAGGCTGGCTGTTCCATATATGCTTCCTCCAGAAGAAATAAACATTCTTGTCTCTTTGGATATAGCCAGAGGAGCAGCGCTGTTAATGTAGGACTTTAGAGGTTAATGCATTGACCTGGGGAAAGCAAGGGACAAACTGGGCTTAGAGGGAGTCAAGACCCTCCGTGCCATCAACCTAACTGCCTCCGTTACCATATTGCGGACCGTAGAGGCTGGAGAGAGACATATGGAGGAGGAGGGAACACAATGGGAGAGGGTCATTAGGCACGCATATATGAGAGGTCTAATCTAAGTCGTTCACCTTAGGCTCTCACAGTAGCTAACAGACAGAAATCATGATAACACAGTAGTAGATTCAAAGATAACTGAAGTTAGGCAAGATGTCCCCTTGAATGGTCCCCTATTTCTTCCACTCATTGAATAGGAAGCTATGCATGAGCAACTTTAAGATTTCCCACAAAAAAAGGCCCAAAGTTATAGTAACTGAATGCAACTGGTCACCTGACTGGGCTTGAGGAGGTGCTATCACACTTGAATATCAGTTTCTGAACCCCTTTGAATTCAAGCATGTATCTATGGGTTTAGCTGACTTGGGACCTAAAAGAGGAACAGCCCCAGCTCCCATGGGCCATAAATTGATGAGCAATGGCAAAGAAAACAGCTGAAAATTAAAAAATGCAAAGGTCTAAGTTAGTGATGTACCCATAAGTATGAGAACTTGAAAGAATGAAACATACTTACTTGTTTCAGTAGCTGATGTGTAATCGCTTCACTTCGCATGAACGTTGTGAAATTGGGCTAATTCCTTGTTAAAAGGCTAGGGTGCACTCTCAACATTTTACTGTACCCCTGTTTTCTTATTGCATAACAGCAATCATTTCAAGCTTAGTGCTTTTGCTAGCATGCACTATCATTTATGGTTTACTGAACTGACATATTCTGATTGCTAAGTCTCTGCTCCAGATCTGGCTGAGGTTTGAAATGAGCTAAAATGTGTTACTATATGGCAATTTCTAGCTATTTCATGCAAACAAAATGCTCCTACTCCAGCACTAGTGTCAAGCTGTCTCAAAATACAAAAACAGCAAATTACCATGAAGCATGAAGAATTTTTTTTGTCATTAATATTCTTACTGATTATTTTACTTACAGCCGGAAAACATGGGAAACCACCTTCTTCTAGCAACCATGCAGATGTATTATCTGGGTTTGTGATCACTTCTCCCCATCTGACTCCTTTAATGATCAAAAACTCCACAAGACTCTCACCCATTGCAAAGCCAGAGGTCTACAAACTCACCCCATCAGGTGCTGTTCAAGTCACTCAGCCAGCATCTAAGGAAAAAGGGAAAGTTTTCCAAAGCTCTTGTTCTCCTAGATTTATATTGCACTCTAATTTTGGTTAGTCAATGAAATGCCTGTGTATGAATCTTTACTACTGTGTATGTATCTTTATGCATGCAGCATTCACATAGGTGCAGGAATACATATGTTAAGTTTTAATTTTTATATAATCTATATAATCTATAATCTATAAAAACATTGTATATTTTATTGAAGTGCAGAAGACCTATTTTCCCATCTCTTACCACTTACAGCCTCTCTTTCATCCACATGGTTTGTATGAACGATATTTATAACAGAGTTGTTTTGATCTGATATAGCTGCAGTGAATTTACTGCTCTTCCAACCCAACTGTAACCCAAACTGACATGAACCAGAGGAATCTGCAGTTTTATTTGGGCTTTATAGGTTTCTGCTCACTCCCTTTTCTCATGACTGGCTGCGGCAGGCAGCTAAAGAAGAACCAAAAATCCTAAAATGATAGATAGCTTGCAGCCTAGAGCACTTGCAAGCACTAGATGAATTGCCTCTTTGATCAAAAGTAAAGGCAATTTCCAACAGCTAATAATCATTTTGTCAAGAAAAGAATTTGAAGAACAGAAATTTTTGTTTACAAAAAAATGCAATATTGCCCTATGTGTAATTAATATGTTCAGTGTTCACAAACAACATAGGCTGCGTGCAATGAATAGCGTTACCATTTTAAAAGCACAGCTCTATTTTTCAAGAATTTATAGGACTTTAAAAAGAGAAGATCAGCATTTCCCCTTTGTTAAGGCAAAGATAAGTTTCTGTTCCTGTTATAATTTTCTCCTTATAACCGCATATGAAAATGAATCTACTTGCCTAAACACTCTGAGTGGCTCAGAGGAAAGATAAATAGGATTTAGATTTTGCCCGACTAAGAGAAAGACTATTCAGGCATTTACTTGATAATTAGAGCAGTTACTTTAAGGCGAGCAATTGGTAGCTACAATTAAATATAACATTTCTTCTAATGGTTTGGTTTGCTTTTAGTTTTCATAGGAATTTTTACAGAGTAATACTTTTTTTTTTTTGCTGATTGCAAACAAACACAATTATATTGCAAAAGCAATAGAAAAAATCAACTGAAAATTCATGTCATGTAAGCAGTGTGTTCCTTTTCATCGAGTTTTAAGACACTGCAAGTTCAGCTTCTCTGAAGTACATGAATGAACTTGTAGGACTCGCACTCCCACTAAGTCACACTTGAATCCAATGCAAGATCTTTTTTCAGAATGTATCCAGATTTATTAGCAATCACCAGATGGGATCCCAGCGTAACCTCAGGGAAGAGAACTAATGGCTTTCCCATCGAGTCATATTTGGATACAATCCAGTCACTGTTAACATATTCAAATTCATTAGGAGCCACTGAATCCAAACCTTGTCTAACACAAAAAGATACTTGGGAAAGAGCACTTTGGAAATTATTTAATTTCCTTCCCTTGGCAAATTCGCCTTGCATTTAAAAAATGAATGAAAGCTGCAGGTCCTCTGTTTCTCATGCAGCAATTTCTAAAGATATTAAGGCAGACTACAAGCTGTATTCGTTGGTTTGCATTCTTGTGCTAGCGAGGTTTTTCACAGAAATAACCAAGTCCCAAATTGTACAGATTGTAAGTGAAAGAGGACATAATCTAAAATCCTTTTGTTTCAAACATAACTAGAAATATAATCTTCATTTTTTAAAGAAATTTGCAAAAAAAGGAACTTTTTTACAAAAGAAGAAAAGAAAAACTTTGCATGAAAGAACAACAAATGAAAACAAGTCTAGAGAGTTTAGCTAATTTGATTTTGAGCTCTAATCTCTATTTCCAGGTAAATCAATAGCAAAATTCCCTTTAATTGAAATGCTATAAATTTAGATACAACATAAATTAAATTTACTTCTATAGATTCAAGCAAATTAAATCTATATCTATCTTATAATTATTTCCAATCATGAATCTGTTTCTCCAACATTTATTTTCTTACATTTAATTTCATACTCCTCACCTTTAAACATTAGTCCATAAATTAGTTGAATCATATGATTGTTTCTGTTTTTTTTTTAACTATTGATGTTTAGATAATCAAATCTTGTTTTCCATGTCTTTATTAAATAATGACTCTTGTACAATGATTATCTCTAATTTTATGTTATCTTCTTTGCATGTTACTTCTTAAACTTAAAAAAAAAAAATTCTCAGCCTCCACAAAAGTTGCATAAATGCAGGCTTTTCATGTAAGTGTGTCTTTTTTGTATGGGAATAACAAAATTGGTTTCGATACACTAATAAAAATAGAAGCACACTTTTTAAAGAATGTACAGAAAACAATTTTTGTAGTTCTAAACAAATTCTAACCTAAGAAAAAAATATATTTTTTGGTGATCCTAAATGCTACTTTTGGAATAGAAAAAAAAGGGGAAAAAAGGTAAAAAAAAAAAGAAACTTAATTCTTCTTCTTCTTCTTCTTTTTTTTTTTCTTTTACCATGTAAACCTGCTGGTTTAAATTATTGCACATCATTATATTTGGACAATGAAAACAACACAGGCATTTTTACTTGTGTCTGCTCAACTTCATTTTTTGGTTTCCCTGACATGGGACATGACTTGAAATCACCATGTGGAGATTTTAAAATTCAAATAGACCTAGAAAATAACATAGAAGTGTTCCGTTTCCCCTGGGCTCCTGAAATTTTCATTAAAATTTTCAGCTGATTGGAGAGACCACAAATCTGCACTTAAAAAACACTGTGAAACAAGAAAGAGTCTCGGGTCTCTTTATGCCCTTCTCTGAACAAGAGATATGTTTAGGAAGGATATGTATAGGAACTATATGGGAAGTTTTCCCATATAGTAGCTGTTTTAAGTGTATTTTTAGAGAATATCCAAAGATTAAGTGATTTTACCCTTTACAACGACACTCCTTACTGGCACAAAATATCTTAAAGCAATTCTAGCTTTTTCTTTTCTTTTTTTTTTTCTCCTGGCAGCTGGGAAAAGGGTGACCTGAAAGTGCAGGAGCCTCCAAGGGCAAACCCGACACGGAGCCACTTCCCCCAGCGCGCTGCGTTTCCCCGCAATAAAGAACGCGCCGCCGGAAGGCTGGGATCTAGAGAAGGGAGTATAGGTACGCGCACTTAATGCAAGCAGAGCCGGACGCGCACAACAGCAACAACAATAGCAACAACAACAGCAACAGCAACAACAACAACAACAACAACAGCCCCCGTCACGGGCGCTGCTACTGGGGAAGCCGCGCGCGACGCCGCCGCCTCCGCGGCCGCTGCCCACGGCGCCCCCTGGCGGCGAGAGCGCCCCCCCTCACGGCGGTGTGGAGAGAAGGAGAGAGAAAGGAGGGAGAAAGGAAAGGTACAAAGAAAAAAGGAGGGAGAGATAAAAATGAGAGAGAAAAGGAGAGGGGGAAGGAGAGAGAAAGAGAGAAAGGAGAGAGAAAAAGAAGCGATACGGAGAAAAAAAAAGGAGAGAGAGAAAAAAAGAGAGGAGAAAAGGAGAGAGAGAAAAGAGGAAAAAAGGAGAGAGAGAGAGAAAAAAGGAGAGAGAAAGAGAGAAAGGAGAGATATGGAGAAAGAAAAGGAGAGAGGAAAAATGGAGGGAAAAAGGGAGAAAGAAAAGGGAGGGACGGAGAGAAAAAGGAGAGAGAGAGAGAAAGACAGAGAGAGATAAAAAAGGAGGGAGAGATTAAAAAAAGGTTAAAGAGAGAAATAAAATATCTTTTCCCCCTCTCACCCAGCAGGGGATATAAGGCTGGACGGCAGCCCTGACCCCATGGGTTAAGAAATACGAGTGCCAGCTACCATCATGTTGATTACCTCAGGGAGCAGGACTGGAGAACACTTTTATAGCAATTGATCTAAAATACTGGATGCATTAAGAGCTTATCAGATTAGTATTAATTTTAAACATCAAGTAAAATGATCAAAAATGTCTTTTAAAGAGATGGACAAAAATATATGTTCATATGCATGGGTGTGTATGTATATATGTACACATACCATATACTGGAGAAATGGTTCCTAAAGTCCTTGGGTCACCAGAACAACCCGTAAGCTTCCTCAGGGATCACCTTACATCCTAGTCTTATACTCAAGGAATTTCTAAATTTTACTGTTCAGCACAGAGATCTTCCAGGCTACAATGAGCCAGGCAGCTGCTTGCACATGGACATAGTTTTGCAGCACTCACTCCCAAATGAGCTTGTCCAGTTCGTACCATTTTCACAAGAATTCATACGAGCCCAGTAACATTTAGGATAGGAAAAAAAAAACCAAAATAATTCAAATTACAAATTTCAAGACTCAAGGCAGCATAGGATATCTGTTGCACATATATATTATGAATTTAGCAACTTTCAGAAAAACACCTTGCACATGTTCAATATACCAGCTACAGACAGGTGGAGGGGTTACTTGGACAGGTTGACTGAGCAGTGCTGAGACAAGAAATGTCCTTTTGCTTGCTGAAGCACTGTCCCAAAAGCAGTATTTCTTCTTCAAGGAAGTAGTTTTAAAGGCTATAAAAAATCTACATACATTCTTTAGCAGTGTGGAAAGAAAATCAACCACAATTAGAAATAAAAGATGAAAAATAAGTTTAGCAAACCAGGATGCAATCATAATCTTCACCATGTCCTTCACCACGGCAGTCAGAGTGCAAGGAGTCATGGTTTGTGCACTCTCAATATACAACCCCTGGATAAACAATCCTTGCATCCTTGCACAAGGCCCTCCGTACACAGTCCTCCTCCTCCTCCATCCCATGTGCCACTCCCAATATTTCAGAGCTTTTTTTTATCTATATATGGTCGTCAAAATTCAGAGAGTGAGGCAATCGGAGCTGTGCAAAAGTCATCCTCTTTGTGCTCAGTCTCTTCCTTTTATTTGGATACTGTTGGCACGGGCAGGTGGAAACGCAAACAAGGCAGGAGCACTGGGAGGAAAGAAGAGCATAGAAGGAGAGGAATTGTCACAACTGCAGGGTTCACTGAGATTGAGCAGGTCATTTGTTCTTGAAGAGCCTTTCTCTGTGGCACTATCTGATGGCTCCGTCTTCCCCAAGAACCTGACACTTACATTGGTATGAATTGATGGCAAAACCCTGGCTGCAGCTGGAGAGGGCAATTTATAGCTATGGTTGGATTGCTCTAATCATCCCCACAACTGCTATCACTGAGCTGAGACCTTACTCTTGGAAGCGCAGATCGCTTTTCCTCTCTTGGAGTCCTGGGACCCTGAGGCTTTAACATCAGGTCAGTTCAAATTGCGTATCTTGCACAGGTCAGACATCTAAATTCCATCAAATTCAGTGGAACCCATGAGACAGTTTAGGCTGCAGGAAAAAAAAGTGAACAGGCACTGTAATATCTGGACTAAAGCATAGAAAAAGGAGGCCTACTTTTTTTTTCTTTTTTGTTTTTTAAGTGAGTAATCAGAGAAGCATTTTGCATCATGTGACCATTCCATTTTTCTTACCATGCCAGGCACCTCAAAAACAGATTCTATTCTATTCTATTCTATTCTATTCTTTTCTATTCTATATTCTAGTCTATTATTCTACTATAAAATGTAAGCTTCAGCCACAGGTAAACCTTCAGATGATGTAAAGGGAAAGAACCCATTAAAGATTGTAGCTGACAGTATGCATCAAGCACAGAAGGGGCTGCAGGAAGAGCACAGACCTTACACATGTATTCTAAATTATAGCCTCTATTATAAAGCTTTCAATACGTACCAAGGCTCCAAAACCACTACGTGATGCATTCGTTCCCCACCTGATCTCCAGAAACCCTCCCTGTCTTCAAAATGTGGCGTGGTGTGGTGGCTGCCCAAAGGGACATTGCTGCAACAGCAGAAAAGGGGGCACACGAGAAGGTAGCCTCACATGCAGCTCTCTCCACGCTCCCACCCTCTCCGACTATTTATTCCCAGTCTCACATTGCAGCTGAAAAAAAAAAGGGGTTAAAAAGTGGTATTTTCAGTGTATTTCAGCTAGAATGGTTCCTCAATCCCCATGACTACACAGTGCGGGACAGGAGGTATCACAGAGCAGGCATTAACAGGAAAGGCAGGAATTACACTCATAACAGGACTACTAACCCCATACAAGGCATCCAGGATAACTCACATAAGAACCAAGCCCCCCACGCTGTGTCAGAAAGTGCATGTAACGTCCTCTCAGGAAACCACCAGCAACCCGGGAACGTTCAGCGATCTCCTAATGCAGTTTTTATACTGTATACACATTTTATTCATATAAACATTTCAAGAAAAATGTCAATATTTAACTCTTCTTAACTCTTTTAGTTGTAGCATTTGCATACGCTGCTTAAAGTGGCCTGCAATATTTCCCCTGCCTTTCCTAGCTCTGTGAAGGACAGTTACACACAGCAGGGAGCTGCCAGTTGCAGCAGCAGGAAGCCTTAACAAAGCAGCTCCGTATTAGTGCAGAAAGGGTCTGTAAAAAGCCCTTAGCCAATGCCAGTTTAGTTATGTATGTCTTGACTTCTCTGTTTAATTGCTTGCCATTTTTTTCCCTCCAGTCCCATGATCTGTAAGAGATTTCTCAAAAATAACAAATTGTGATATAATTAGAATGATGCCTAGTGTCAGAAAAAAAAAAAAAAAGCACTTTTGGAACATGTTTAAACCAGCTGAAACCTCATATATTTAAATTTGACTTCTATTATAATGAAATATGGATTAGCCTTTTCCGTTAATTAAAAAGAACGGACTTGGCGCTGTAAAAAGGAGATTCAACAACTAAATGTTTGGTATTTACATTCAAAAATAGAACTGCTTAGAGAAGATTCCAAAGCAAACTCCAAAAAACTTACAATATTCATGTATATGCTGAAATCGCGGAAGGGAAAACTCCCCTGCTGCATCTCAGGCAGCCTCTGAAGGGCCATCCATGCTGCACCTTGAGCCGGCTTCCTGCTGTTCATCCGCAGCAAGACTTGGGCCTGGATTCCGGATCCCACCCAGCCGGCCCGTGACATCTGCCTCATGATGCCAGCTCTGATCTGAGCCTCCAAGAAGGACACAGGCACTAGACTAGCAGCTGTCTCCCAGCAAAAGCTGGATTTATCATATTCTTATCCTCTGCTCCAGCTCAAAATCAAACAGGATGTCTTAAAATATCTATGGTTTAAATGATCCTGTTTGACTTTATCCTGAACAGCATGAAGGAAATAGCTTACACAGCTAATACTGATTCAGCTGATGGAAAGAAACTGCTGGACAAAAGGAGAGCTCCGGGTTCTGCCGCCTGCAGGATTCGAAGCCCTCATCTGCACGTGGAGGGGCAGATCGGTAAATCTGTGCAACAGCACCCAGTGACAGGCCATAAAAGCAGCAATGTAGGAAATATTCAGCTGCCCACATCATTTTCTATCTTATGGGAAGAGCAGAGTCAGAACTGGAACAACTCCAGAGAGGAGAGATTAAGGCAAGGCCGGCACTGCAGGACTTGATTAAGATGAGACACAGGGTAGGGCCGCGCACCTGAAGAAAGCTGACTGGCTAGAGAGGATTGCTGTTCTCCAGCAATTCAGAGGATTAGCGTTTTCTGCCTGTTCTAGGCATTTTCTTCTTCTTTAAGGAGAAAAAAAAGAAGTCATTTTGTTAGTTTATCTCCTCAGGAAAAGCAGTTGGTTTTCCAACAGACTGCTGCTTCAAAGCAACCCGATCCACAAATAAGATGTCGAAATAGCTCTGTCCTCACTCCACAGACAGAAAACAAACATGTTAGTACTCATTCCCAAGGTGTTCCCCTCCCAACTCCCAAAAGCACCACGCACATGCTCAGCAGAAGAGCCTGTTGCACTGAACAAGTAAAGAAATAAACTGATTGCTTATTCCATTCAATTCCAGCTAAAAACAGATGAACGTATTCTTTCATGTTAATTTTAAAGCAGTACTAGCTAAATGCTAACATTTCATATTGAAACCCAGTCATCTTTACATGGCATGGAAATATTTCAGGTACAAAAGTTGTTAATGGCACACAATTTATTAAGTTTTAGTCTACACATTTTACTGAATCTCATCAACCAGCAATGTATGTGAACACAGAAGTATCCTTTCCCCACAAGATTAAAAAAAAAAATAGAAAACACAAATTTTCTGCCAGGTTGGCTTATTTTTAGTGTTTTTTCTTTTTTTTTTTTTTAAAGCACAGTATATGGCAGCACAATTGTTTTAGAAGGTTAAATTCTATTTCTTATGTGCAAGTTATCCCAACAAGCGTACCCCGTTCCTGGGCAGCTACAGACGGCAGCAGCCCTTCTTGGACAAGGCTGTAGACAGGTAATGCACAACAGGTATCGACTGAGGGACCCTGAACAGGCAACACGCTGCAGGGCTGGCACTGTAATTATTTCCATCCTTGGAGTGATAGACAGTTTAAAAACACTGTCTTTTGAGGTAACTGATTCCTGGATCTGTCATCATGTGTTACTGCCAAAAAAGCTGCAACCAAGTGTAGCTAATCACGTATAAATGGCATCTGCTATGTAATGAGGCAATTTTTTATGCCAGGTCCAAATTGTAAAACATGATAGATGAGTACCAGCTTAGGAGGAATACAAGGCTACTGAAAACACACATGGAAAAATAAATTCTCATTTACTTTACTCAGAAAAGATTTTATTCAAAAATCACCTTTTACAATCTGTGCACTTGCAGTCTCTCGGATATAAAAAGATCAGACCAGTTTACTTTCAACTGTCTAGATCCTATTTGAGTTGCCAATAGTAGCAAAACTATCTTTGTTTAAACAACCTTCTCTGAGAACTGAAAAAAGCAAAATTGTACTGACACTTCTGACACTTTGTCTTTAGTTTTACAAAAAGAAAATTACACGGAAGTCAAAACCAGGGCTTCATGAATGATCTCTTTTGAGTCACATATTAAGAGCTCGCTTTCATTAATTACCAGATGTTAAAAACAACATAGATCAGCACAACAAAAGCAATTTTACAGAAGACTAGCGGATGCAGACAGTTTATAGAACTTTGTGGTAAAATAACTAAAGCATAAGTTATATTAACAAAGGCTACAGTACAAAGACCATATACAGTTTCATTATTTTTATGATTTCCTCAGCAGTTTTAGTTTCCACATTACAAAAGATGAAGACCCTCCCCATTCCAGAGAGCAGATAACCACAGATTCTTAGTCTATTCAAAGGCACTTTTTTTTAAATCTTTTTTGCTTTCATCATGGGCTGGCCTAATAATCTCTTCAAAAGTTCATGCAACATGATGACAAATTACATCCTCCTCCCCCTCCAAATCATGTACTTATCTGGATCTTTATTTTATAATTAAACCAGGCTACCAGGCTAAGCCTTTGGCCAACTTTGCTTTCTTTTTCCCTTTAACACGTTGTGCCTTGAGCTTCTTTTTCTGCCTAGAATTCATCCATATTGGGTACTGTCCATGCTGGTCTAGAAGAGTTTTTTTGTTTCTTTTGTTATCTGTGTCCATTTTGCAGTCATCTGAAAAAGAAAGAAATTTATAGTCAGTAAAATACATGAATCAGCTTAATAGAAGCTATTTGTTACTAGATTCACAAACATGATAAAAATGTCTCTATACACAGCACTATTTGTATACAAAGAGCTGAAGGCTTTATACATCAAAAGTGCTTTCCAAAACAGCACAACTGCAACTAGGAACTTCAATAGCTGATAATATGAAGAATTTCCCCTGAAGGCCCATGTCTGGGCAAAACACCTTATTCTTTAGCCTGCCATCTGTTCCAATACTGTGTGTCTAAAAACATTGTGTGTGGTCTCCATCAAAGGCTGCAACCATCCAGGAAGCCATAAGCTTACTGAAACGTATGTACAATTAAACACTTTTTATGATGCGATGTTAAAGATCCATCAAAATTCTGAAAAAAGAAATTAATCTGAGTGGGAGATGAAGACAGGTAAAGAGAATAATACAGAGAAAAGCTGAATACAGTGACAAATATAATACATGAGCCAGTGAATCAACATTTAACTCAAATAAGCAAGCACAAGGTCAAGTCTAACTAGGGTAGAAAAAGGAGGTTAACCTCTAGGATCAGGAAGACTTAACGTTATGGTCTCTTCTGAGAGATCAGTTTGCTACCACTGCATCAACTGCATCTTTCAGTGAAACAAGGCTCTGAGGGAAAAACCCTGTTCATAAGTATAAAGTTGGACTGTACTCTGCTGTTTCATTTCAAATTTGTTTGCAGACCTTCTATCTGCAACCCCACCAGCTCCATCACGCACTTGCACAGAGAGGAAAGGAACAGGACTCTGTAGTGCCTGTCTGATGCTGGGAGACAAAGACCAGGGGGGTAACACCACACAGGCAACACACTGTTTCAATAGAGGAAGCATGTCAGGAAAACATGGAGCAGGCAGCCTAGAGCAGCCTGCACGCCAAAGAGGTGCTCCGGAGCCCTAATGCAGAGACGCAGATACTTCTGGCCAGCAGAGAATCCGCACAGGGGCCCTCTGCCAGCTGCCACAGCCAGAGGTCAATCTTGCAAGGGACAGGAGGCACGAGAGTCCCGCCTCCAAAGACCTCTTGAGACATCAGAGAAACACAACACAACGCCTTCTTAATAGCGTTGTTTTCCAAAGGTCCTAGAAGGAGAGATGGGCTGCGCCAGACCAGACTGCCACATGCTGGGAATGGGGCTAACTCAAAGACAGGGGAGGGAAATTTGGGCAGATGTGGAAAATGCCAAGGCAGTGAGGACTTCCTTCTACTGCTCATATAAAGTGCAATTAATTGGCAGTTCAGAGCTAAACTATCACAGTTCTTTCTCTAGTAAGAGCAGCTAAAGGAAGGATCCATGATACCAAGCACGTGTGAATAAAAAGCATCAGCATGCGTTATACCATGCAAAAATCTGTTGAATGTAAAAGAAGCAGCTGTCTTCTAAAAGCAGTAGCCAGCTTCCCAAAGAAAGCAATGACTAACAAGAACAAAAACAGTCTATAGTAGTGAACCAGGTTGTATAAATATTGGTTTGAGATTCCTTAGTGCAACTTTTTCACCATACTTTGCAATCTCAAGGATTGGAATCTCAATCTCAAGGATGTGGAAATCAGAAGCAAGAAAAAAAATACTGAACACAAAGGACGTCCAAGGACATAAAGAAAACCCATCAAATGGGTGAAAGAAAGAAAAAAAGGACCAAAGAGGGGAAAAAAAAAAAAAAAAAAAGCTTTAGAAGTGGAAGCAGCTACTAGCAATAGATTCAGGTATGATTATCTTGAAAGATAGATGCACGCCCGCAAAGTTTTAAAAGCAACTGCAAAACTGTTTTTGACTGAAGGCAGATCTTCCATCATTTTTTTTTCTAATAATCTAAACTGAAAAAAAGTATGTTGTGTAAAACACCCTATAGTATCAAGAGTAACACAAGAACATTACCCCTAATGTACTTTTTTTTGTTGTTGTTGTTGCCAAGACATTCACGCATCAGGACAAGGCTTCTCCTTTGGATCCTTCAAAACATTTTGCAACAAGGTATACTTCCTTTTGTCCAGAAAAGCAGACATACCTCTAAAAGAGGACACGGCTCTTGTAGGATGCAGTATTTTTGAGGCTGCTAACCCTCTAAAAACATTGTGTGGAACTGACCACTGTGTACAAAAGTTACCAGCAGACATGGAAGGGGTGTAGGAATGACAAATTGACAAGCATTTCCTTTAGAAACAAGGCTTAAAGATGCAGGTATTTCTTCCAGTTGATAATGCTCTAAATCATTTTGGAACTCCATTTGAAACAATCCTGTAAATAACAACTTTTGCATCTGGTTTACAAGACATATCATTACCATAATCTTCTATTTCCACATCCAATATAATTTATAGGCTCTTCTACTCAAAATCACAACACTCCCCTATCTTTCCCAGGCCCTGAACCACCGACGAAATTGTCTGCAAGAGTGATAGTAATTGCTAGCATTATTCCAAATTCTTGCTGAGATGATTCAACTACAACATCTCAACAGACCTCTGCACCCCACACAAAAAGGATCCCACAAAAAATAAACCAGCAACACCACAACAGCTTAAACGCGTAAGTTGGGGAAGAAGAGAGTAAGACTGATTTAGTTTTAAGAGAAGTTTCAACAAAGGAAGATGTCTTTTATGGTTCTTGGCTGGTACACAGCAATTTAAAACCTTTGTTTCCACTTAATCTGGACCACTTCTTTATGGACAACAGCCTACACAATGAACACAGAAAGATAGCCACCAATGGATAAAGCCAATCTCTCCAATCCCATGTGCAATGTAGCTTTAATCGGCATGCAAAAATGGGGTCCCTGCTGCCCTGACGGTAAGATATTACTTTTAAAAAAGAATCACTCCATCTTCCTTAAGATCTGTACAAAGAGATCTCAGTTTTAGACCCAACTTTTTAGTGTTCCTCATAGACTGTTAAGGAAGTTGTCCTATTTGTAGCTTAACAGCAACAATTTTTTGCTCAGGAAAGTGGTGCATTCTCTTTCATGAAAGGTCCTGAGAAAGTGATGCTGACCCTGGGGCATCTGCTGCTTCCCGGACGAGGCCCGGCAGCTTCGGCACCACCAAGTGTCACCGCGACTCACCCGCCTGCTCGAGGACCTTCTGCGCGGGCAGGACAGTGGCCACCTCCTTGACCTCTTCCATGACCACGTCCGCATTGGTCCGCAAGATGCTTTTGAGCCGCTCCAGCTCCTTAGGCGCGTTCTTCTTCCTCTTCTCTGCCCGCATCTTCCTCTTCCATTTGCTCCTCAAGCTCTTCGCCATGCCCTGAGGGGAGGGGGGGGTGCGGGGAGGAAGAAGGGTGAGGGCACAGGGCCGGACACAGCCGGGACCCCCCGCCCTCCCTCCCTCCACCGGAAATGCCGTTAAGGCTGCCCCTCCCCAACGGTTCCAACGCTTCCAACGGTCCCAACAGCCGCTGCACGCGGTCCCCAACTCACCTCAGCCGCGCACGAGGCCCACCCCACGCCAGGCGCCGCCGCTGTCTGCGCATGCGCGAGCCGGCGCGGGCCTGACGTCAGCGGTAGCCACGTGACGAGGAAGTCGCGGAGCTCCGCCCTCGCCGCCCTGAGGTAGGTACCGTAAATCCCCGAGTGAGACGGCACGCGCTGGGTGCCGTATTTCCTTGCGGCCCGGCCTGCCTGCGTAGATGACGAACGAACGATCGCATCCCCTGCGAGGGAAAAAGGGCACCTTTGTCGGTGGCTACTTCCACACGTTTCCTCACAAAAGAGCAAATTCCGAAGAGAAGATTCCAAAAGAGGAGTCTTCACATTGTTTGCAGACCGCTTTTGTCAACAAGCCCCAGTAAAAATTCTAACGTGGAAAGTACATGCAGCCATGGACCATCCCGGTTTTCTCCAGCGGCAAAAACACGTATCACTCATGTGACAGGGGAAAGGCAAGCAAGAATTCACAATTTAACCTAAGCAAAAAATATTTTTTTTACCCTGCCTGCCATTCCAGGATTTCCACAGGCTGGAAAGCACCAACAATTGCCATGCTTCTGCCCGATTAGCAGGTACTTTTGGTTGCCAATGGATGCTTTACATTTTTCATTCTCAGCCCCACTGAAGTTCTCCCCTCCACAGAGCTGCAAGAAAAAACTGAAGGTTTTCCATTTTTTATTGGCAGATAATATATGCAAGTTGGTAAGAGGCCAGATTCCATCTTTAAATGATTTTTTCAGAATACTGAAAGATAGGCAAATAAATTACTCTTAATAAATGAAGAACATTCATGCTTCAAGTGTTTTAGTACTCTCCCTGGTTACCTAATAACCTGAAAGCCTGTAACAGGAACAGAACCTCTCTTTTAGAGATTTTTTTTTTTGCTATTTTACCAAACAAAAAGCCAAAACAAAACCAAAAATGTTTAGCTTAGTAAACCACTGCACAACGATAAATTGATAGTACCTTTATGCCATACACATACAACCCCAAGAGCAGCTACAGAATAGCAGATAGAGGCTGAGAGCTTATTCTAGAGAAATCAGAAGCTGGCAAATGTTTTGATCATGAATTATGGCAAGTGCAAATTAGGTAATTAAAGTGAAATGGCTACAAGCTTGTTAACTAACACAGATATTCTGGAAAAGAATTTTCAGCTACACAAAAAGCCATTTATTTCTAGGGAGGGATCCATATTTACAGAATGAAAAAGTAATAGTCTCTAGAAGGCAAAACTAAAGAGTTCATAGATCATCCAACCCCAAACTATTTAGGTACTTAGCTTTAAATATGCTATTTTCAAACCATGCCACATTTGATTATTTTTTATTAATTGAATCTAGCACTCGCAGCAGGTTTAAGAACAGACTGATGATGTCCAGGTAGAGATTGATCGAAGCCAGTATATACTCCTCAGGGGATAATCTTTGCATCAGCAAATGAGTGTCATAAATAATAAATCCAGAGAACAGAAGTGCTCCAGCAGCAGCAAACACCAGTTCCACCGACTCGCTATGAAAGAACATCTGGAAGCAAATGAAAAATGAAAACAAAAGTCATTTGTAAACCTTTTTGTTAATATAAAAATCTATGCAAAAAGACAGGTCAGATGTTAAACAGGTCTTATGTCACTATGAGATGGCCAAAACACAGCATCTTTTTATGTAAAACATTACAATGACATCTACATTATTTCACCTAGCCCCCAGTTATACAGTCTCATTTACCAGGTGAAGTACATCCTTGTAGGAGAGAAGTTCTGCTCTCCAGATCTTATCCAGAAGATAATTATCCAGTTAAAAACACAACTATCTTTCCCATTCTCCCAGTCAGGTGACAAAACTCTGCCGAACAACTGAAATACCATTTTTATATTAGCAAGAACAGCATTCAACAAATTTGAATTTGAAATTAATCTGACAGTAATAAAGCTGGCGAGGAATATTTTTTTTCATGAAAATATATTGAATAGTTCAAAAATTTAAAAAAAAAATCAGTTGATGAATATTTTAAAAAATTGAACAGAAGATATCTTACCCTCAAGAATCCTGAGATGATTAAAATCCATAAACAAGCAAAGAGGCTGGAAAAAAGAAAACAATTGTGAGCAACATTAATTTTGCTTAAAAGCTTTTTCCTTCCTACTAAAACACTTAATATTTGTTAAGTAAATGTCCACAGATCTTAGATGTCTGCTGTTTACTGGCTTCAGCAGTAAAACTTTGTTGCAGCGACCACTCAGAATTGAGAGCTGAAATTTACTTTTTATTTGCATCAACTCCCTTCTGTTTTGGCAACAAACTCAGATAAACTAGTATTGTTATACTATTGTTTTAAGAATAATAATCGCACTAAGGAGTGGTATGATAAAAATAATTTATCAAGAGAGAAGCACTGCATAAAATTAGTAATTTTAGATAGATAACACTCCCAAAATTTACTTGAAGCAGGTAGTTTCTATTGACCTGAAGATATCTACAAAACTTCTAAAAAAAAAAGAAAAAAAGAAAAAGAAAACACAGATAAAATACAGCATCATACCCTGCTCCAAATTTGCTGAAGTCTCTTTTGGATTGCAAAGTATATGCAGTCAGTCCAAGGAATACAGCAGTAGTAAGAATAAAGGCTTGGAGGACAACGGATACATCATAGAAACTGACTATAAACGAAAAAAAAGAGAAATCTTTATTTAAATAAAACATGCTCTGTACTTGCTATCTTTCAATGAAATTGAAGTTCAGACTTTCACAGATAGGAAACAATCTTAATTATGAACAAAGAAATGAAATTATGCCCGAACCTGTGTTTGCACTTCAGGATGAATGCATAGGATCCACCGGCCCTTGCTCTAGCTAAGATTAAGATTTACAGTGTAGCTGTAGCTCTCTTAAAATGAGATAACAGATCCTTCGTACTCGTAATAAAACAGCATTTTAATCTTTGACTTTTAAAACAGCAGGTAATTTTTTTTCCTGATACAGGACTGATACAGGTAGTGATACAGGTACTGACACAGGACAAAAATCCCAACATGAGCAATGCCCTGAGAAAGCTCAGAAAAACTTGGACTAGGAGGTAGGAAAGCAAAAAGTTAAGTAATTAGAGCCTTTTTCACCACCTTCCTGCCTTCTTAACCTTCCCTTTCCCCAAATGACTCTTTTTGCAGGAGGTCAGAAACCACAATGAAGAGGTTTCACTTTATGCTGGAAAATATAGTGCAAGGTGATGCCAAGAGGAAGTCTCTCCTGACACTGCTGGCCCTTGCACCGGTGCTTTCCTCAACAGAGACAACAAACTCTGCAACTCAGCGTATTCCTCTTGAGGAAAAAGAAAAGAGGGATAAGAAGGCATTTCACTTGCAGATGAGCTCTGCTCCATTGCAGCACATTAGTGGGAAGTGCCTTACAAGAAACGACACTACTGGCTATATTGAAATAAAAAGACAGAACAGTTCACTTCAGGTTTGTGCAGTTCCAGTTCTGGATCACAGAAGCTCTCCAGATCTGGAAGGTGGCAGGAGATGGAAGTGAAACAAAATGAAGCCAGGGAAGGCCAGAAAGACTAGTGTTCCCATCCTCAATCAGCAACCTTGTTATCGCATATGGTCAGAATCCTAATATTGACACGGTATCATTATAGAAAAAGCACAAAGCTACTTAGCACTAGCACAAAGAAAGCAAGGGAAAAAAAAAAGAAGAAACACATTTCTGCAATACAAAAAATCCAAATCCTCCTATTACTGCTACTCCAATAACTTAACAGAAAATATTATTTACGTTTAATAGCAAAGGGCGTTCAAAATCCCACTTCCTCCCTTGAATTCCAGGTGTTTGGTAAACTCACATCACTGTCATTACAAATTTCAAACGCAAGCTTTATACCACCTTTGTTACATTTGGGAATTTCGGGTGATAATGAATACAATGTACTGAATTACTTTTCCAGTTCCTGTAGGAATTCAGACAATAGAAGGACGACAAATATTTACCTGTAACAGCAACTGACAGTGCTTCCAAAAGGGTCTAGAAAATAGAAACAAAGAATTGAAAGGATTAAGTAGCACATGACTTCACATACAACATTCCTTGTCCTATTTTGCTACATAATCTAAGGAGACATTACATGAACATGCTATTACATACAAAAATTTAAAAAGAGGGCTATATTTTCAACTAAATAATGGCAGCCACTGTCTTTTTATGTTGGAAGTAGTTCTGGTATAGAAGAACAACAGAACATAAACTGGAAATGAATAAGAAACATCCCCTATAGTACACTGTTATTCTGGTCTTCTACTTGGCACACTGCATTAATTAATGTGCTTATCACACCTACAAACAATTCAAGGGGCTATAAAATTTCCTCAGGGCTACTGTTATTAGAAATGAACTATATTACTATAGTCTTTTCCATTTTTGAAACACTGTCATTCAACGTTCTTAAACTCTTATTAGATAGTTAAGTACCTGCATCAACTCTTTCATCTGCCCTTCTTTTGAAACAGAGCTGTAATTCAAATTTTTTTAGGTATACAGGAGGGTCATGCAAGAAATACATGAAAAACAAATTAGCCTCCATTACTTTGATTCATGAAGTTGATCAAAATGAAAGATGTGCTAAGAGCTATTAAAAATATAGATAGATAGATAGATAAATACTTACAAATCCAAAAAGGAGATATAAATTAATGGGATGCTGGTGTCTGTAGAATGCCAAGGCCAAGATTGTAGCCAAAGATCCAAATGCAGATATCAACAGCAAGGCAGGCCTGTGAAGTTTCATACAATAAAAATCATTAAAAAAAATAACTGGAACACTAAGGAAAATGTCACATCAAATTAAATTATTAAATGATCATCTGGATAAAGATATCCAACCTAAATATAAAGCAAGTTTTGGAGTAAAACCACCCTAGAACATATCATATTACAAACCCACGTAAAAACAGTACAGCTTCAGGTAAAGAAAACTGTAAAGGCATGAAGATGAAATTATATCTGCACCAAACATACAGTTTAAAATATATATGTAATATTTTGTCTATTTTAGCATTTCATATTCAGTGAAATGTTGTTTATAAGCATGCAAATGCAGCAAGTATGGGCACTAATATCACTAACGATCAGTACTGACAAGTAACTGCTGCTGCTACAATTAAATCACACAAGCAGCATGCCAAGAAAAGGTCTAAAACCAAACAGGAAACACAAAAGTTACACGTGAACAAGAGAGATCTTTGGTGTTCAAACGTAACTATAAACTGCAGTTTTACAAACTACTGTATACACTTATACAGAAACTTCCTTAATTAGAGCTATGAAGTGAAAGTAAAAGCAAAGTCTGCAAGTGCACTTTGGAAAATGAAACGAAAACAGAAGTTGCAGAAATTACAGAAATTCCTCTTCTTTCTCCATGTTTTTTCAGCACAGTTTATTGCTTCTGAGACTTGTTTTCTTTTCCTCATGGCAATTTTAGAGGCAAGAAATAAATCCACAGGCATTTCAGAAGACTGATTTTATGGAAAAGTAAAAAGGGTAGTGGGGTGAAGAAATGAGTTGGTGGTTTGGAACAACTACCTAAAAGCAACAGTATTCCAAACACAGTCTAAGAGCATTTAGGAAGACCATAAAATAAGAAAAGTCATTGGGATGTACTGCAACCAATGTATGGAGTTTTCATATGTAAATATTAATCACTAATTAATAAGGCTGTGACTTTAGAAACTACACGTTACACATCGACAAACACTTTCATTTCAGTTTAGTATCTACCTTTCATGCACAAATGCCTGAAGTCCAGGCCAGTACAGAAAAACTGCAGCTGTGACTGTGGTCAGAAGAACTTGAACTGAAAGAATGCTGTAAACTTTCCGTAGAAAAGCTAGAATAAGGAAAATAACAATCAGATCAGTTCTGAGTAACACTTACAAACTTTACGGTAAACCAAATACAAGAGTGCTGTGTGATATGGTACCATAAGCAACTATTAAAAAAAAAGAGACAGAGAAAAAAAATGCATGAAGCCTTTTTTTCCCCAAAAAACTCATTTTATGAAATTTTAGGAAATACCACATTAATTCCTGGAGATCAATAAGGATGAAAAAAGTGAACAAAATACAATTCGGGAGAAATTGACTTCAGACTATTTAAAAAGCTACATAATCTCACTAAGCAATTACTAAAAGTACACCTTCTCCATCACTTTATCAGGGCCATCTAAGAAGATTAATTTCGAAGTAGCATGCAAGATAGCTATGTGTATATATATATATAATACATATATATATTTGTTGTTGTTAAGGAAGCTTCATAGCTTATACGGCCATCTTAGACATCATTTACAAAAATTTAGATTTTTTTTTTTTTGTAGTGGACAGATTTCCACAGACACACACTTCCACAAAAGCCCATGATTCAGTTCCCAGGCTGCCTACATTTGGAGTGGAAGGGTGGTTCAGGACACTCCAGGACTTCCTGTCATACGGGAATGCAAGGAAGGGAGTCCGTCAGGCAGAATGGAAGAATAAGCACCTAGGGAGAGGCCATTCAGCCCTTGGCGCCACAGCCTGAGCACGTTCAAGAGCACATACTAAGGGCAGCTTCACGAGAAAGCGGTGCGAGGCACCCCGGGGTGCCTTTAATCAGCCCCGCTGATTAAAGGAGATGAACGGGGGTGCGGCGGGCGCC